GTAGCCAATTGTATGCTCTCCTGTAGTGGTTCATTGAACCACAATACCAATAAGTGATTAATAAAAGTCAAAAGACTGAAGAGGTCACCTTAATACCAAAATAAAAAAAGAACAGTTACTAACTTTGTTTCATTAAAAATAATAACTAGTCTCTTATATAATAATAAATATATAAATATTTTTTTGATATATTAACTAATTACTAAATCTCTAGATTATAAAAATCTAATTAATGTAATTATTGTTCTATTCTGTATTATTGTTACTTTCTTGTCTAACTGTTATACTTTAAAATATCAGAATTAGTTATTATTGTATTGTTCTATTATTCTAACAGACTGAGAATAATGAGATTATATATGTTGTTCAATTACCTGAGTAGTAAGGTAATTAAGAATAAAATTAATAAAAAACTAAAAAATAAAAAATCCAAGATAATTAAAGAAGAAGAAACACTTATCTATAATCCAAATTATTGATTAAATTTGAACATTTTTTTTTGAATAAGTCAATAATAAATTATATATGATTTTGATTGTAAAGTGATTAACTTATTGTTTTGACTAATTTCAATATAAAAAAATATTTTACAATATTATATCATTCTACTAATATAGAATATTAAGGTTTTATAAGCTAATAATCTAGATGTTTTATTCTTTACAAACAAGATTAATAATTCAATTCCAACTAGAGTTAAAAATTCTATAATCTAAAGAAGCATATGAATGTATATAAAACTCTGTAACTAAGTTCATATAAATAAAAGATTAGTATATAAAAAAGTTTTTAAAAAAATTTAACTAATATAGAAAGTTAATGCTTAATGCAAGAGAAGTAGTAAACATATCAGAAATAAAAAGAAGATGCACTAACAAATTATATAGTAAATATAAAAGAAAACTATGAAAAAAGAAAAGACTTACTAAATTTTGATACTAAACTAGTTTTAGTAGATACATATAGAATACACTAAAATTAGATAAAAATCTAAAGAATAATCTTAATATCATACTTAATAAATTTGTGTTAAGAGTAAATTTGAAAATTATGAATACTTAGTAACATCCAATAAGATGGTACTTTAATATAAATAATAATTAGATAAACTAATTTGTTCTGTCATTATAATAGTAATGTATAATATTGCATATATATGCAATAAATATTAAAAATTGGAAAGTTTAAATAAGTGACTCAAAGGCAAGTCTTTAGTATAACAGCTAATAAGTAACCTATAAGCAGAACTCTTAATTAGATGATGACTAAAATTATATATGTAACTAATTGTAGTTTTGTTGATAGACTATTGTATATAAATATATAAACATATGTAGAGCCTCTTATTTGTATTTATTATTTGAATAATAGTCATATTTGGTGAATATTTGAATAATAGTTTAAAAAGTTTCAAATAATTATTCGGTAAATAATACAAATAAACAAATCTTATTTGATTAAGTTATACTTATTCGAATAGGTGTAACTTATTCGAATAGGTATAACTTATTTGAATAGGTGTAACTTATTTAAATAGGTGTGACTTATTCGAATAGGTGTAACAAATAAGATTAAATAAGTAAATAAATAAAAATGATGTGATACCCATTGCAGTGAATTTATGAAATACCTCAAAAATTAAAAAATTTGACTACTAATATGTAATATAGATTTTGGCAACACTTCCAAGTTGTGATGCATCATTTTAATAAATTTCTATGTCTAATAAGATGCGTTGAAGTTGGGAAGCCTGTGGGAAAGATGAGTTAGACATGTTATCAGTCTACAAAAATTTTTTGGGGGTTTACATTTATAGTTTAATATATTAATTTGGTAACTGGAATTTAAATATGAGGAACAAATGCTTGGTTTTGGTAACTGAATTTTAGCTAAATTTCATAAATTCACCGTGATGCCAAATGTTGAGTTAGTTAAAAATACCCATGACAATATGTACTTCTGTACTGTACTTATCAGAAATGCATGCATAAAGTTTACATACAAAAATCATATGATATGTACAAGATTCTTGGGTGCTCTTTATAATATAAGTTTTTAGCATGAGTATAAAATGACTATTTCAGTATTTGCTTCTTCATAAATAATGTATGTACAAACTTAGGAATAAAACCAGTTTATTTTAACTTCAAAAATTTTGCTTATAAGTATAAATATAGTCTAACTTCACTTTACTGCTGAACAGGTAATAACAATATTTTAAAATTTCAATTTCAATTAAAGTAATTTGTTATTACTTTACACATGGTATTTATATATTTAAAGCATATTGCATATCATAGTTTTAAATAAGAAGAATTTTTATTTTTAAATTCCTTGTAAAATCTACACAAGGAAGAGATGTTTCGATAAGTGACATGTTTGTTTAATATAACGATAAGTAATTTAGCACATGTATCCAAGACGATTAAATCATATGTTTCTCAAAAAAAAAAAAAAAGTCAAACACATGTATCCAAAATGATTAAATTGTATGTTTCTCAAAAAAAAAAAAAAAAAGTCAAACACATGTATTCAAGATGATTAAATCGTATGTTTCTTAAAAAAAAAAAAAAAGTCGAACTGCATTACCTTGTTTTATAATGATACAATAATAAAGGCAGGGTTTTCTTTTTTTTGAATAAAAATACTGGTCTCAAAAAATCTTGTGCTTAGAAAAATGTCTCATATAAACAGTAAAGATAAATGCAGAGTTAGTAATATTTGAAAATGTGCACATGCAGAAAACAATAGTACTACTACTAGTGAACAAGAAGAAACCCAACTTAATGCTAAAAGTTCAAATAATCTGAGTTATATATAGCATCATTTTACATTTTTAGAAGATAAGGTTCATGCTCAATGCCAAATATGTGATAGAAAAGGAAAAAGTGTAAAGTATGTATTTCATGGCACCACAAGCAATATGATATATCATTTAGAAAATGAACATGGAATCTTGAAAAAAATCCTACAGGCAATGTAAGTTTTTTTTTTTTAATACTGTATAATTAATTAAGAAAATTATTAATAGTAAATAAATTTAAGTAGAAGATGGAAATATTGAAGATTTTTTTGAAGTTGCTCATGGGAAGGCTGCCCACAAAAAACAACCAATTATTAAAATCGCCATGTTAACTTGGATGATTGATGACTGTCAACTACTTTATCTTTTGTGTTCCCAGTCTTTTAAATCATTTATGGAAGTAGCATTGCCTGAATTCAAAGTTTTAAGTGATAATAAAGCATGACATATGATTATTAATGCATATACCCAATCGACTAAGCAACTTACAGAATTATTACAAGATACTTATTCTGTCAGTATTACCACAGATCTGTGGTCTCCACATAATGATGAACCATATATTGAAGTTACAGCCAAATGAATAGATTTTAAAGATTGGTCATTAAAAGAAGCATTACTAGCTTACGAAAAAATTAATGAAAAACATATAGGTGAAAATATTAAAAATGTTTAAAGAAAGTAATTGAACAGTTTCAACTTAAGTGAAAATTAATTGCTGCCACCATGGATAATGGCACAAATGTTGTAAAAGCTATCCAATTAATAAAAACTTTACATGTGCTATGCACTGCTCACACACTTCATTTAAGTGTAACTAAAGGTCTCAATGCTACTGGTGCATTTAAGAAATATATTACAAATCTTATTTTATTTTTTAATGATAGTCCTAAGAATACAGAAAATCTTAGAGATGCACAATGCAAGTTAAACTACCAAAAGGTGTATGAAGTTCTTTTGAATGTTCAGACCCATTGGAACTTGATGTATATTGCATGGAAATGTTTACTTGAACTAAAAAATGCTATACTCTACCTTATTACTATTTTAAAAATTTCTTCAGAGAAGGATGATAAAGATGATGCTAGCTATTTGGAACAAATTAATTTGACAGAATTGGAATGGAGGTAATTTTATTATTTTATTAATTTTTATGTTTTTATGTTTTATTAATCAAACTATTTTATTTTTATAATTTACTTTCAGATATGTTAATCATATTAGCACCTTTTTATGAGGCAACAAAAATGCTATTAGGGGTTTCATATGCTATGCTTAATATGGTTTGCTGTACCATGCACCATCTTAAAAAAATCATAGCCCCACCAAATAATAAAGATGAAGACTATTAAGTAGAATTGTTGTATGGAGAATTAGATATGACTGCAAGTTAAAGTTTGTTAATTAATATGCATTCAGATGATGAAATTATTGATTTGGCAACTCGTGCTAATCAAGCTCTTAATATATTACATGATTATGTTCAAAAATATAAAAATATACCTGTTAATTTTCAGCAAAATTCTGATTCATAGTTTAAGAAATGTTGAGCTATTGAACCACCAGTCACTATTATGAACATGTTAGAACAGATTAAAGCTACAATTTATCTAAGCATGTGCCAGTATTGGGATGTTCCAAAGGAAATTACTTTACTTTTGGCATTGTTGGACCCCTGATACAAGAAGCTTAAGTTTGTTACAGAAATTCAATGTAATATAACAGTTGATAAGCTAAATGAGCTATATCGAATTGAAAAGGCTATTATTATAGAAGAGTCGAATGATAACTTATATAACAATTTACCTAAGTTATCGTTTACAAATAAACTATCAGATGTTAATCAAGTTAACTATTCTTTACTCGGGCTATCTAATGATTCAGATAAAGAAGAAAGTAATATATCAAATAAAGTTATTTATTACTTAGCTTTACCAAAAGAAGCTCAGGAATGTAATATACTAGAATAGTGGAAGAAACGAGTTAATATCTTATCAGTTTTGTCTAGATTAGCAATGAAATACTTATCAATTCCTGCTACTTCTGTACCAAGTGAAAGGTTATTTTCTGATGCTGGTCTTCATTTATCTGCCCATCATTCTTGCTTAAAGCCAGAGTTGTTGGCATCTATGTTGTTTTTAAAAAGAAACATGAAATTATTTGATGTTTTTAAATTAGAAGATAAATAAGATTAGGAATTTCTATGCTATTATTTTCCTCTGAGAATCATTTTTGGTTAATGGACTTTCAATCTAGTTTGGGATTTTTGTTTGTTACTAAGTTATAAAAGTATCTTTTTGTGGATGGTCATTATATTACCGATGCTCAGAAAAGTATAGAGAATAAACAAATACAGGTTAATTTGTAGAAAAATTGGCTGGATATAAAAAAGTTCTTGCAAGAAAAAAATATTCACCAGCTTGGAATTAATATAGTTTACTCAGTTTTTTTAGTAAAAAAAAATTTATTGCATATTGTGTCTTAAATTTTTTTAAATAAAAAATCTTGAGTTTGTTTGATCTCTCATTTATAAGTATGTTATCAAGCATCCTACACAGTCTTTTTGAGCATTCAAATTTTTTTTTTTTGACTATGTATTACTTTGTTGTCATCTCAACAAGCTTCCTACTTATGCATATAACTGTCATCCTAACAGGCCACAATTTATGACTGCTGTCTTAGTAGACCAGTTGAAAATATACATTGTACATCTTGGGGCGGGGAGAATAACCAGAATGAAAGTAAAATATTTTCATTAATTTTTCATGCTTACTAAAATATTATTACCTTGTATTTACTCAATTACCTTATAATTATTACATACTTATTAAACATTAGACTCACACATCGAGCAACTATTATATTTTGTTATAAAATATTCAAATTTTAGCACACAACAGCACTATATATACCCAGTATAATGAGATATGTGATTTTTAATTTTTCACGATTTAAAAAAATATTTAATATCACATAATCGTTTTAAAAATTGATCTAAATTATTTGACATGCATGGTACTATATGCAATGCTCTATCATTATTTGCAATTTTCAAAACCATTGCTACTACATCTACTAATTTTACAATTCCAAATATAAATACCACTATTACTATATCTGAAAATGCTAGAATTACTACTGTCATATTTGAAAAATGAGATTTAACTATTAAACTAATTAATTTATCATTCTTTTCAATTTAGTTAAATCAATGATCTGCATAATTTTTTTTTGAGTTCGTGAATATAAGATAGGTAGCTACTTTATGTTCATTGTATTTTTTTATCAATAAAAGGAAAGTATATGAATTTAAAATAAGTCCCACAAAATATGACAAAGTTGACAGGAATCAAAAAAAAAAACTATGCAGATTATCAGTTCAACTAAATCAAAAAGAGAGATAATTAAAGTTTTATTCTTATTTATAACTTTGTTTTGTGTTGAATTAATAAATTAATGAAAATTTCTATTCAATGATATAATACTAAAATAAAATATTAACTAATCATTATTTAACTTGACAAATTAAATTCATGCATATGATTTCATATGCACAAAAAATTATAACGTGCCTATTGCTATCACTATAAACTACCCCAGTATCGCCAACAAAATTTTTACCGACATGTGATGATATCCAGAAATAAGCCAAGAACGAATCTCAATTTAGCTATTTGGTATAATGTTACACAATCAGGAAAACTCAAAACAAACGTTCATTTTGTCAAAATTTACTTATAACACTAAATCTATATAGGAAATCACCTTCTGCACATTAATAAAAAGTTTTCTTTGAGCGATTTTACTATTAAAACTCCTTTAACTCTAACACTAGCTTAGGTCCAAACCCTAATATAAATGAATTTAAAGAATTTTGTATGTCATATACTGGTAAAATTTTTGTTGGTGATATTGGAGAAGATTATCACTATATTGAGATATAAATCAAAAATCTGAAATTTAAACTTCAAACTCAAAACCTGAATAAGTATTTGTAATTCAAATAACTATAATTATTCGAATAACTATAATTATTTGAATAACTATAATTATTCAAATAATCATATTTATTCGAATAATTATAGTTATTCGAATATGATTAGTCATTTGATGAATATTTGAATAGATATTTGCTAATTCAAATTATTCAAATATTATTCGAATAAGAAATCTGTAAGCTCTAATCATATGTTACTAATAATAAAAAGACACACAGGCAAGCTCATTCTTGAAACTAAAAAAAAACTAAAAAAAAACTAAAAAAATCATTTTATTAATACATGTTATAATTATAATCTGACATACTATTTTATTATAATAAAAATGATGTAGATTATAATCATAACATGTACTAGCGGAATGATCTGGTATTGTAAAATAATTTTTTGTATGTTGACACTGTGTAAAGGATCAGTCATGTAACATTGACAGTTCCTCCTGTTGTAATTTTTATGATCATTCTATTTCTGGCAGCAATTTTTGTTAAATCTCAGTTTTGATCACTCAATTCTGATCATTATAATGTAATTCATATGTATTCGTAATAAGTAATAGAATCCAATAATTACTTGACATTACTTAATATTAAGTAAAGTGATAATGGCACTTGCAGTTGAATTTTTGGTTAACATCACTTTTAGAACTCTTGAGAGAAGGAGGAGGAGGGGAGGATAAAATGAAATGAACATATTGTTACTAGCAAATTGGTGGGATTACACACACAAAGGCAATTAAGGAATGTGATGAATTGTCACTTGACAAATGGTTATGCCGCGTAATGTTCCTCAACGTCTTAGAGGCGGGACGATTTGGCACTGGTCTAGAGTGACGGTTAAGGAGCATTATTAAGAGAATTAGGACAGGGTAAGTTAAGGGGTCCTGAAAGAGCATTCTATTTTATGAAGTTTATTTTCTTTGAATAGAAATTTTAGAGGTCTTTAATTATTACTTTATTACTTTTTATAGGGCGGGGAAGACACACCTTTTATTCAAGTGAAAATGATACCTTTTTATAAGGTTTTTACAGAGCAGCAAGAAGAACATTTTCGAAAAATTCACTATTATTCTAACACATTTTGTTCTATTACTTTAAGCCCTTTTCCCTCTTTTAGCCAATTCTTTTTCCTTCACAACCTTTATTTCCCTAACAACATTTGGCATCCAAAAATGCTTCCACATCGTTCCCCTCTATTTTCCACATAGAACCCAAACCAATTCATTCCTTTTTGATTTAACTCTTTATCCCTTACTTTTCACAGCCTCTTACTTCTTGCTCATTCAATGCTTCTTTTTACCTTCCAATCAACGTTCCCACAACCATTCCATCTATTGGAGACGCACCCACACGGCCACAAGCTTTACCCCACAAGGCAATATTAACCCATTGACTCATTTTAGCTTGTACTTTCGTCAATCGGGTTAATGCAGATTACTTTACCATTTCGGGCCTGACAACGGTAATTGTTCTGGGGGCTTAGCGGCTATGGTTACGATCCCATGCAGCATCGATTCGGGACTTCACTGTTCATCCATTTTAGGCAGTTCTTCGAGATCGGGGTTTGCCACTAACAATATAAAATAAAAAAAATATGAGTCTATTTGATTGGTTGATATAAATCAAGTGATTGGTGAGAGTTATCCAGCGTTTCCATTGATTGTTCATTTTTCTGGAGGAGACTTCAGCTGAGGTGAGTGTTATGCATACCAAAGAATCAACTTCGAACGGCCTAAGTCATAGGTCATTATTACTTACAAAATTACTTTTCTCATTCATAACTTCAATCAATAATAGATCTGAGGCAAAATTTTGATTAGCTGGAAACTGAACTGAATAAGTGAGTTACTATTTCAATGAATAAAATCTAGGGGAGCTGACCAGCTTTTTTTTCATAAAGTTTCTCTGATTCGATAAAATTTAAAATCCGCCTTTTATCAATATCCTATATGAGAATCACACTACGCATTATATTATGACGCAGGAAGTCTATACTCAACGGTTACACGAAGTGATTCAATTTTTTAGATAGTTATAACATTTTATCTAAAGGGTTTTAAAAAAATCTGACCAGTAACTTTATAGAGCTATATCATCTCAACGTATATGGCAAATATATTTTCAAAATCTCGTCACTGTAAAGAGTTCATCAGAAAAAGCACTCGTGATAATTAATAAATTTTATATGATTACTATCTAACTCCATAATAATATTTTAAAAAAAGTCAAATACATAAAAAAAAGATATATCCAATGTATAACGTAATTTTTTTGAATTTAAATTATTCTATTTAGGCGCTTTATCTAATTTTTCTAATAGAGCAATTGCTCTTAAATTATTTTTACTGGCAGCTACTCTTAAATAATTGAGCCCAAGTTCTTCATCCTTTTTTACTCTAAGTTTTCCGGTCACATAAATATCTCCCAAATAATACATTGCATCAATACTTGGGTTTTCCGGATTTTCAACTGCTTTTTCCAGATAATATAGAATGTCCTTGTATAATTTAGTTTTTTCAGATTCATTTTTTACTTTTTTAAGGTCACCAAGTAATAAAACAGCATATCGACATTGTGCTTCAGAATGATTGTGTTCATCAGCAGCTTCTTTAAAAAGCTGTTTGGCCCTTTCCGGATCTTTTTGCCCATGATAATGACCGTAAATTAAATAATATCCTAACCAGAATTTTGCTAATGGGTTATTAAGATCAGCATTTTCAGTGAAGCATTTCCATGCGCCTTCATAATCCTTCTTTTGATGCATTTCTATTCCATCTTTAAGAGATATAATGGGAGCTTCTTCAGGGATTTCATCATCTTCAATTTCAAAATTATCATTAAAATTTGACAAAGTTTCTTCAACCTTCTTTTCATCAAAATTCAATACCTTATTTCTAAGAAGTTGTGGCGTGTCAAAATGAATTGGGAATTCTGTGGCTAATTCTTCAAGTTTTTGCCCTAGTGTAGGAATAGTTATTCGTAATTCTGGTTTATGGCACCATGCTTTTATCAATTAAATAAACAAAATTAAAGTAAAAATTTGTAGAACCAATAAAATAAATAAAAATAAAAAAATCTGACAAAAGTTACCATCTTGAATGATTTTAATAAATTCTAATTGAATGTTTTTATCGTCAGGGTTTATGAATTTTCCTTTTGAAAGCTTTTCTCGTTTACCACTTAAAACGTGATCAGATATTCGTCTAATATCCCAACCTTCATAAGGCAACTTTTCATAAGGCAACTTTTCATAACAGAGTTCCCATAAGAGCATTCCAAAACTAATTATGAATAATAATGATCAGAGAATATAGAAAGTAAGCAAATACAATTAAAAAATAATCTTATAATTACCTAAACATTTCACAATTAAATGTATATACAATTTTTTTTTCAGATGTACTTTGATTACGTGTATATTTTTCGATTAATTCAGGAGCCATCCAACGAATAATACATGATCCGAACCTTGAACGATTTCTAGGTTCCTCATCTACTTCACGTGCCCATCCAAACTTTCCAAGTTTTACACTCAAATCAGCTAGTACCTATAATGTAATGTTAATAATTATTATTTTTAGATACAACATATATTAAATATTATTTAATTATACTTACGAAAACATTTTCACATCTAACATCACTATGGAAAATATTTACAGTACGTAAAAATAGAAGACCGAGAAGTATATCTTTGGCAATTCTAATTTTTCTAGTCCAAGGAATATCATATTTATCGTAAACCTCCTTTAAATTTCCAAGCTCAGCCCATTCAAAAATCATAACTTTTACGCGATGAATCACAGAATAATAACCATAAAAAGCGAGAATTTTAGGAGATTGACCCAATTTATTAAGGATTGCTAATTCGGCTGCATATGGGGGTGTAAAATAACATTTACATGCAACAGTTACAGATGTTTTATAAATCATTTTAGAGATTTTGCGTCGATCTACTTCAGTTTCAGGTTTGCTTAATTCATTTTGATCAATCTCATTTTCCTGGAAAACATATTTATTAGATGTTATAAAGTTTATATTTTGAGTTACTTTATCAAGTTTCTCATCAATTTGTTTGAGGATCTGAAACGGAAATTTATATGAAAAAGTTAAATTAATAAGTCAGGTTATTTATACTCGAAAATAAATAAATATCTTACTTCATCAACTTCTTTTAAATCTTTATCAACTTTTTCAGAATCTTTTTTTCTTTCATCTGCATTAATTTCAATATTGAAGTGCAGATCGCTCATACACTTATCAAAATCATTTGTTAATTGATCAAATTTCTTTTTAACATCTGTTGCATGAAGAAACCTTTTATAGCCTTTAAGTTTTGATACATTTTTAGTATATTCTTTAATCTGAGTTAAAATGTTTTTAAATCTTTCAAAAGCTAAATAAAAGGATTTTTCACGAAAATCCACCTTAATCCTTTCCATACTTCTAACTATCTTATCTATAGAATATTCTGCTGCTTTTACTCTATCAACTATAATCAGGCAAAGTTCTTTATTACATTCCGCATTTTCATAATTTTGATAAATTTCCTCAACTAATACTTTGACTGCTCCGATTACAGGAAGGTAAACAGAAAATATATCAGCATCAATAACTTTGGTCGCAGTAGAATTCATGTCCAAAATAAATTGGCACGTACAACGAGCTCATGTACTGTACGTATGTACTTATATACGAAATGTTCATTATCTTAAATATGATAATCATAATAATAAAGGGTGTATGTACGTTCATACTACATGCATGAACATTTTATTGTCGCACCACAAACGTTTATGGTTAAATTTGAGTTTGGCGTTTATACATAAATGAAGGGCGTGCTGTTGTTAGGATGGCAAAAAGTCGCTTTTTAATGATTTTTTTTATTGCGTTGATGGATGAAACTGAAATTACTGTAACTAAGTAGCTAATTTCAACTTCGGTGTCGCCATGAATTTTTTATTTCTTTTATCAAAGTATGTGATCTAAATAGGACCAATTACTTATAACTCCGGTCAAATTTGCAGATCATTTGGCCAGATTTGGAATCATAAAGCTCTGGGATTTGTCAAACGATCTGCAAATTTGACCAGAGTTATAAGTAATCGGTTCTACTATTTAAATCACAAATAAATTAGTCGTGATGGCATGTTTTTTGACCATATCGCTGATTTTGGTAAAGAAATCCAATCTTTCCAGTGACGTACTTCATTAGACATATATAATCGATGTACCCTAACTGGGGAGATCGAATTTCAATGACTCGAGTCTAGAGGCTGAAACCAGTTTTAATAATTCGGGTTTATCACATGCCTTTTGTGATATTTAAAAATTTATTAAAATTTAATTGGATAAATTTCTAAAATATCACAAAATCACATGATAAATCCGAATTATAAAACCGGTTCGAACCTCAATTTTTAATGCAGATTATGGGTATTCTCAAGCACTTCAATCAAAATTATTATGTATTCTTACATAATATTACCTAAGATTGTTGATAATAAGTAATTTTTAACAGGAGGAACCGTCGATGTTACACGACTGATCCTTCACCTGGTGTGCAACATATAAAAAAATTATTTTACAATACCAGATTATTCCCTAGTATATGTTATGATTATAATCCCTCACCATTTTATTAAAATAACTAGAGGATGCAGATGTGGGCGGCTTCGCCGCCCGGTTGAGGTTATTATAGTATTATTTCTTGAGAAAAGAAAAATTACAATGTTTAAATTTTAAATTAGATTATAGTAGTATACAAAATAAATATGAAATACAATTAGGTAATGCATTGTTTTATTTGATATTTATTTTTTTTAAGATACTTTGGTATAGGATTCAATCATTTAAAATGTAGAGTATGAGGCATCTTTTAGGTATAAAAATAAAATTGGAGATAATTGTTATAAAGGTAAATTTTAGACTATAAAGATAAAAGATACGTGTTTAAGGAATTTATTTATTAAGGTTAAATTTTAGGTTGGTAGATTTAATTAGGATGTAGAAAATTAAGTTGAGCATTTAGATTTTTGTTTAGTGGGGGCAAAGGGAAGGATCATTTTAGTATTTATTTAATATTTGTTTTACTAATAAATTAAAGTATAATCAGTTTGATAGCAATAGTTGTCTATATTAAATTATACAGTCAAAGATTGAATTATTAGATAAGGTTTTTATTTGATTTATAATTTATTAATATTAGTGGTATATTGTTTAATATGTTCAGGTGGAATCTTCAATAGGGTTTAATAAAAGTAAAAGGTATAAAATAATAAAATTAATAGGAAATATAATTTTAAGTAATTATTGAATTGGGTATATTTCAGAGAAAGCTTGATTATGTTTAATTGAAAAACATTAGTATTATGATGGTTAAGTTATTTTGACTTTGCAGATAGAATTAATATTATTTATCAATACATATTTTGTTAATAAATTAGAGTATAATTGATTTGATAGTATTAGTTATTTATATTAAATTAAGGAGTTAATTACTGAATTTATTGTATAAGGTTATTGATTTGATTCGGTGTTCTTATTATTTTTTTGGATTGAATTCAATTGTGACCATGGGGATAGAAAATATGGTTGACTTTATATAATTTTTAGTATTTAAGAGTTATTCTTAAAGATTATTTAGAAAATCTTTACAATTATGATATCGTGTTTGTATATTATGAAGGGTAGAAAGCGAAATTAGTGGTACAAATCATCAAATTTTTTTCAATGGATTTGTTGGTAACTAAAAAGTTCAATTGATCAGTTGTCAACTAACGAATTAATCGATTAATTTCAATTTTAATTTGTATTACCAGGTGATATTTTGTTATTCTTATTGTTTTAATTAACTAAGGATGTTTTTGATTTAATTATATGTTTAATGGTAATGGATCATAAGATTTTATTTCTAATCTTTTGTATTTATCGATCATTGATAAGTCTGTTATAAATAGGTATGTGTTAATGAATGTATTTTGATATTATTTTAGTTAATGCAATAACTTAGTGCTATGTATGCTTGTTTAGATGCAAATATTTGGTTATCTAGGTTCAATGATATATCTGGAAGTATAAGGCCTTGGATTTTGTGAACTGTTAGGGCAAAAACATTTTGTATAGGAAATTGGGTACAGCTAGCAGGTGTACTATTTATATAGAAATTATTTATAAATTTAGAAAAGAAAACATTTATGATAGTTCTTTCAACACAGAAGCTAATATAAATAAAATCTAAATTTAAATCTAGAATTGTTACAATACCTATAGTATTATTTGCTATTTGATATTAATGTTATGAATTATTAAAGAACTTAACTCTTGCACCAAGTTGAATTCTAATTGTCTTTGGCAAGTTTGTTTTATTTTTAAATTCATGAAGTTTTGAGTTATTATCACATACTTGGTTATCGAAGATGTCTATAGAATTTGAAATCATGAATTTATTTTCTTGAGTAGAGATTATCATTAACATGATTTTGTTGATCAAATTAGCATTTTTTCTGTAGCCTACTACATGTGTAGTATTAAAAGTAGTTTTTAATTTGGATGATTCTATAGTTTCAAATTTTTTATAAATCAGAATATATTATATTGTATCATCAATTTTACCTAATCTTATTTTTTGTAAGAGATTATAAAATACTGTGTCTTGGTTCTGTCTTTGAAACTCATGAAGAAACAAAAAATAAAAATCTTTTATATTAGAAATTGATAGATAGGAGAACCAGAAATAGAAGGTAATTGAGCTAGATCACTGACTAAAACAATGTTAATGCCTTCAAATAAAATGTTATTTCTGTAAAATAATTTGAAAAGTTCAGAAATATATGTTAAGAGTTGATCTGACATTATAAAGATTTTTTTGATAACAAGAGTATCTATTCAGAAAAGAGAATTGTTTAGATTTTGATTGTAAAATCAAAAGTACAATATTCTTATTTATCAAAAATGATTCTTAATGCAGAATGTATTGTCAAACTACCAACATTTTGAGCAACTACTCAAGTAAGTATTAATAACAAACAGTTATAACACATTCTTTAAAAATCTTTTAGTAATAAATGTATCATGTAAGATTTATCAGTACTTGATAGACCTGTGATAAAAAAGTAAGTATAATGTGATCCATCTTATGGCTATAAACAGTTAGTTATTATTTGGTGGTAGTAATATTGACTTAGTGATAAATTGATCATTAAGTTTATTGTTATAATGCATGTTAGTATTTTTATGAATTCTAACTGTATTTTAATTATGTTAAGAATATCTGTTATTAAGATCGAATGTAATGATGAAACTATAGTTTTTATAAGAAAATTAAATTGATTTAAAGCATGTTTTGTTTATCTCAAAGTGTATTCATAATTCTGATTTTGAATTAATTGAAATAGTTTAGAAAATCAAGCTAAGAAGTGTTCTTGATAATTATGATAATCATTAAGTAATTCTTCTTCTAATCTACATAGAAGTTTTAGTAGAAGCTGTTAATAAAAGAACAGTTTACTATGTTCTAATCATAGATGTTGTACACAAATGAATATAGAGTTGATATATTTAATAACAAAATTTCTAAAGTTATCTTATTATATCATTTTATTTGTATTTGGTCTAGTTGATTTAATATTATAGATTTTGAAATATATTTTATATAAGATGTTATCAAATATAGAATGATGTGGTCAGGCAAAATATTTCTCTATACTATTGGCCCAATAAGGATTATTATCAAGTGAGTTAATCATATATAACAGAAAAATCACTTTGGAACAAATATTTAAAAGATCTGTTGTAAGATATTAAACTTGTATTAATGAATTTACAATGCATTCACCAAACAGCAAAAACATTAGTTCCATTGTTTCTATTCATTAGACATGAATATATTTTCTATAATGCATTTATTTACAAATATTAAATAAGTATATTAGCTCTGATTTATTTATATATTTTGTTATATAATGAGCAAGTTCTTTACTTGTAACATATTAAATATTCATATATGTATTTCATACTAGTAACATAGAACATAATATGGAATTACTAATTGGTCTTGTCATGTTATGCATTGATAAGTATATCTATAATTATTCGAGTCATAATACATATGATCAGAAATTGGTTATAAAAATCTTTTTTTACATTTAGATCCTTACAGAATGAAACCTTTACACTTTGAGTTACAAGTATATATTTGAAATCTGATAACTTTTTGGTAAAGTTTGGATTTTAAAGTAGAATCTAGAAGAGTTAATTAAATAGTATTCAAATGATTATCTTTGATATATCTGAAATTGTTCAATAAATGCTATGTAAATGCATGGCACCACAATTTTAAAATTTTATTCTGTCAAAAAAGTAAGAATAAGTTTCCTATTTACTAATATCTGAGTCTTTCTAACCAAATTTTTTAATATTTTGCAATTAGTAAATAAAGTGTAATGTTGTATAAAGTGGCCTGTTAGATGACAACAGATCATAATTATCAGTATTAAGAAGTATGGTACAGAAATGTGTTCAAGATTCTTTAGCTATTGATAGGCTAATAAATATTGTTAGAAGGTCAAGTTCATAAATCATTATGTCTAAATACATACTTTTTTTTCAAAAATAGCTATTTTCTATATGAATAAATATAGAGATTAGTATTGTTTTCATTTTATTATAATGCCAGCCATTAGTATAAGTGCTGCACTCAATAATTTTAATTGCAGTAGATAAATGATAAATTTTATCAGCAAAAGATTGTTAAACTAATTATTGAATATTTTGAAAGTTCCTTAATTTTTCTAACTAAAGATATGCTTATACAGGCCAGTAGTGATATAAGCAAAATCAAGGGTCTTTAGAAACTAAGTGGTGTTTTAAATATTTTTCAAAAGTATCATAGTATTGTTATACATTTTCTAATTGAGTTCGCATTTTGTAATAATGTTCATAAGCATTAGGGTATAAATCTAAAAAGAGTAATAGTTTAAGGTTAAAGTTATTTAAAGTAATTAGAATAGTATTGAAGTTATTATTTGTAATAAAACTGGTTATTAAATGATAATAATTTGCATCTTTATTATTAATTTCAGAAGAAAAATTTTAATAAGAAACTATTATATCACTATGTTTAAAAGAGAATGTATTTTCATTAATAGATAAATGAGTAACTACAGGAAACTGAAGATTTGTATTAGAGAACTACAGAAACATTTGAGAGTATTAGTATAAATATGGGTTATTCTTATTAAGCCAGTTGGCAGCATTAATTAAAGAATCATCAAGCCAAGGTGAAAGGATAGATCGATCAGAAGAATCCAAGTAAGTGCCAAGTAGGCCAGAGTATAGACTTAGAAAATATAAATTTTGAAAGTAGTTCATATTGCCAACTAAAGATCTATACTCTGAGAAAAGATTGGCACCAGGTATGTAACCTAGAAAACAATATAAAAAGATGAGTGATAGGTATTTTTGTTTTTTTAGTAGCACAAACTTGATTTCAGGTAGAATTAGACAAAGATATAGTGGGTAATTGCAATTTAGATTTAATTTGCATTAAGAGCATATTGCAATACAATTTTCTGATAAGCTAGAATATGTAATCAATAACATTAATTTGCAAGTGGGTATGAAAAGTTAGTATCTCATTGAATTCATAAAGATTTTTCTAGATATATAAGTTTAAAACAGATAGAACAAGAAACACATAGAAATTGAAATAATATAGTATCTTTAAATTTATCAATTATTTTTTGCATTTTTATCAAGATAAGCCAAGTCGAATAAGACCAAATGTTAGGTTGTATATTACTTTGCTTAACAGACTGATTGCTGAAAAATGTAAGATCAATTATTTGTTTATTATACTTTAATAGTTCAATTTCTAGAATTGTATTTACTTAAAACATATTTAAAAAACAAATAAAAAAATTGTTGTTTCAGATAAATAGTTAACTATTTAAGAAAGTTACAAATATACTATTAAAGTCAATTAAAAATGTATTAAAATGTTATTTAGTCAGATTTAAATAAAGTAATTGCTTTAAGTGCTTTATTTATTAAAAAAAAGTAGCAAATGTGCAAAATATAAGAATATTGGTATTAGATTATTATAATTTTTAATTTAATGCAAGAAATAGCAAGTTTGATAAATAGTGATGCATTAAATAATAATGACAAAGAGATAAAGAAAAAAGAAGAAAATGTTAAAAAAAAAAAGAATAAATAGTATAGCAAAAAAAATAAATATAGTAGTCAAATCAGGTTTGTTAATTTGCACAGTCAATTAGTTAATATAATAGCTATTTTTTTTGATTAATAACAAGTATAAACAAAAATATTGAAATTTAAGAACTTATAATCAGTTTAATTCTATCAAAAACAATGAGCCACAAATTTGATATTTCCTAGTTTAATTAAAAAAGAGGCATTGCTGTAAAGATTTCATAACAAAAACATATATGCATAAATTGTGCATATTTTTAAATCAATTAAAAGATGCTATAATCATAAAGATCTTTATAACAAGTAAGTAGATACTCATATAAACTGTATGTACTTCTTAATTTTATTAAAAGGAGGTATGGTCATAATTATTTTCATAAATAATTACATGCATACATAAATTATAATATTCATATATGCATAAATAGGATTTAATCAGAGTTTAAATGACTATATTAAAATGCTAGCCATTCAAAAATATCATTATTGATCTATAGAATAATTGGTTGGTATAGTAAACAATAAGATGAATCAAGAAAAATACATTAAACAATAGGCTGCAGGCTGGCAAATTACTATAGAATTTTAAGCTCTGAGTCTGATTATATAAATTAAAACCTGTAGTTTATTAGTAAAATTATTAGCAAATGATTTATATAATCAAAAAAAAACTTAATAAAGCATATAAGTGAATGATGATTTTATCTTGAACTAACTGTTTAGATCAAAAATACATACTACTGTAATAAGCTCATGCAATCAAAACATAAGTTAATTTTAGTTACTTAAATCACTTAAATATAGTAATATGTTATATAATACAAAGTATTAGAATAATAGTTGTATTAATTTATTTAAATTTGCTAATAAATGGCCAAAAAAACAATTTTATAGATTTTGATAAAGTGTTCAAGAGATCAAATTAACCATCAAAAGAATTTAATAGTAAACAAATAAGATATATATATATATATATATATATATAGACATTAATATAATATACTTTATTTAGGCTAAAGTTGGTTATTAAGAGAGGTAGCAGGAGACTGATCTGATTCATTTGAACTAATCAACATATCTTTTGTCAAGTTTATTACTTTGTGTTGATTTTAGTTTGAGTATATGATTTACTCAAAGATTTAGCTATAGACAAATTAATTACTAATGATATTTTACTGATGCTAGGTTGTATATACAATCTTGATGCTAAAGAAACTTTTGTCACAGACAGGTCAACTAGATGTGTTATAAGTGGATCAAATGCTGATGTTACAGATAGGTTGTTAACTATAGGTGTTACAGGCAGGTTAATAATAGGTGTTATAGGAGGGTTAATCATAAATGTTACAGGTAAGTTAATAGCAAGTATCACATGCAGATTAATAGCAAATATTAAAGGTAAGTTAATAGTAAGTGTCACAGGTGAGTTAACTGTGAGTGTTGCAGGTGGGTTAATCATAGATATTACAGATGAGTTAGTCATAGACATCTTCTTATTCTTGGCATGCCTAGTGTCAAATTTTGCAGCAATTGCATTAGCAAAACTAAAAACTTTATCAAATTTATTAGAAAAATCATTTTCATATAGAACTTTAAAAGAGTTAGCAGCATTGATTAATGTTTTCTGATAAATGGTAAAGGTTATATTTTTAATATACAAATAACTTTCATTATTGTATAAGATAAATTCACTGGTAATATAAAAAATTGAATTTTTTTTTATAGTAGAAGTTATGCAAATCAAATAAGGTACAAATGTCAAATAGTAACACCTTATTTTAATATTATTTTGATCTTGATCTATATGATCAGTCATCACAACTATTATAAATATAGATTTACTATTAATGCTCAGCGAATCTTGAACTATTGCAGTTATACTAACCAAAACTAAAAATTTCAGAAAATCATCTACATCTAGGTTAAGATATATTAAATCACTTAAAACAATCTGTAAGTTTATTCGTAAATTTGATACAAAAAAAAAAGAAACCATATTTTTTGAAATAAATTTTATTTTATAAAAATACATTTATAACAAAAAAATAAATTCAAACCAACTTTCAAAGCAGAAAACTTTTCATTTTTTTCATTTATATATTTAATAACAAAATTTTCTAATAGCAAGAATTACATTTTCTTTTTCAATCAGGAAGAGACTAAATTCTTGAGTCATATTTTAAGAATAAAATCCTTTCAAAAAGATTTTTAATGACAAATTTAAACTTCAAGATTTAATAAAACCTGAAGTTTCAGCTATATAAATATTTTTGTCAAATGTAATTTGACAATTAGTCATATAACAAAGTACAGTAATGATACTCAGCATTTTTTTTTTATTTTTTAATATTTTGTTTTATTCAAAAAAAAAGAATCTTAAAAGAAATTCATACAAACAAGTGCATATTTCACATACTTAACAAATACTTAGTAATATATAAGCATAAAGCTTTTAACAGAGCTTAAGCAAAACAATAAGGTTATTTTTTGAGAGGTTTTTTTTTGCTATGATAAAAAAAAATTAAATAATAAAAAATAACAAAGAGAAACATGATTTCAACTAACCATCAAATTGATTGTATTTTAAAAAAAGTTTAATAATATATGATAATTTTCAAGTTAATTTTTTTTTGATATAAATTATTTAGTACTATTAAATACTATTAAGATCTGTATAATAATTATCATTGTTTTCTTTTATTATCATAGCATTGTAAAAAAATAAACAAATCTGTCATATTAGACAGATTGCTTTCAACACAAACATACAATAGGTATTAATATTTCATCAATTATACATACAACATACACATCTATTGTTTTTTTTTTTTTTAATTAAAAACAATGACTAATGTTTTCACAGGTAACCACATTGTACAATACAAGCAACTCATTGACACAGTCTCTGCCATCAGTCATGCCACATATCATGTCAATAATCACAAGCCTTAAACACAATTCTGAAACTAAATTCTTTTACTACAATCTTTACATTTCAACTTTTGATGATTACTAATTATCATTCAATCTACCTAGCAAAAAATGAATGAAAAAAAAACAAAAAGATTTAAAAAATCAACAAATACATATTTATAAATTAAAACAACCATTCAAAAACAATAAATATGCCTAAAACTTTCACACTCAACACTTAGTGATCAATAGCTTGTATTTAAAACCTAGAAGTTGAATTTAGTTTCTTGTATCCATATGTAGTATTTACATGTAGTATCTAGTATCAAAGTACTTATAAAAAAGGAGGGCGTAGATCATTCCTTTTACATAATCAAAGGAAATTGTTTTGACAATCATAAGTTCAAAATCAAACAGACACAACACAAAAATATCAATGTACTACAAATCACAAAAGCTATAAAAGGCAAAAACAAACCAACAAAATTGAGTACTGTTAAAAATGATGTGGGATTATAATCATAACATGTACTAGCAGAATGATCTGTTATTGTAAAATAAATTTTTTTATATACTGCACACCGGGTTAAGGATCAGTTGTGTAACATTGATGGTTCCTCTTGTTGTAATTTATATGATCATTCTATTTCTGGCAGCAATTTTTGTTCAATCTCAGATTTGATCACTCAATTCCGACCATTATAATATGATTCATATGTATTCGTAATAAGTAATAGAATCCAATAATTATTTATTATTACTTGATATTACTTAATATTAAGTAAAGCGATAATGCCGCTTGCAGTTAAATTTTCGGTTAACATCACTTTTAAACTCTTGAGAGGAGGGGGGGGGGGATAAAATGAAACGAACATATAAAATGAAAAAATATGAGTCTATTTGATTGGTTGATATAAATCAAGTGATTGGTGAGAGTTATCCAGCGTTTCCATTGAATGTTCATTTTTCTGGAGGAGACTTCAGCTGAGGTGGGAGGTTATGCTAACCAAAGAATCAACTTCGAACAGCCTAAGTCATAGGTCATTATTACTTACAAAATTACTTTTCTCATTCATAACTTCAATCAATAATAGATCTGAGGCAAAATTTTAATTAGCTGGAAACTGAACTGAATAAGTAGTTACTATTTCAATGAATAAAATCTAGAGGAGCTGACCAGCTTTTTTTCATAAAGTTTCTCTGATTCGATAAAATTTAGAATCCGCCTTTTATCAATATCCTATATGAGAATCACACTACGCATTATAAGTGTCATATATATTATGGTGCAGGAAGTCTATACTCAACGGTTACACGAAGTGGTTCAATTTTTTAGATGGTTATGACTTTTTATATAAAGGGTTTTAAAAAAATCTGATCGTAACTTTATAGAGCTATATCATCTCAACATATATGGCAAATATCTTTTCAAAATCTCATCACTGTAAAAAGTTGATGCGTTTTTAAAATTGAAATTTTATTAAATTTACTTATAATTTCAATTTTTAAAATGCGTCAACTCTTTACAGTGTTGAGATTTTGAAAATATATTTGTCATATATGTAGAGCCGATATAGCTCTATAAAGTTACGATCAGATTTTTTTAAAACCCTTTAGATAAAAAGTTATAACCATCTAAAAAATTGAACCACTTAGTGTAACCGTTGAGTATAGACTTCCTGCACCATATATGATATAATATTTTGTTTAGTTTTGTTGAATTAATAATTTTTATGTAAACTTTAAATTTTAAAATAGTTACATTACATTATGCGACATTATGTTTAGTATAATGTAATGCGTATAATGTATAACGCCCATCTCTAAACATTATGCATTTCATCAGAAAAAGCACTCGTGATAATTAATAAATTTTATATGATGATCCTATCTAACTCCATAATAATATTTTAAAAAAAGTCAATTTAATACATAAAAAAAAGATACAGTATATCCAATGTATAACGTAATTTTTTTGAATTTAAATTATTCTATTTAGGCGCTTTATCTAATTTTTCTAATAGAGCAATTGCTCTTTCATTATTTTTACTGGCAGCTACTCTTAAATAATTGAGCCCACGTTCTTCATCCTTTTTTTTACTCTAAGTTTTCCGGCCACATAAATATCTCCCAAATAATATATTGCATCAATACTCGGGTTTTCCGGATTTTCAGCTGCTTTTTCCAGATAATATAGAATTTCCTTGTATAATTTAGTTTTTTCAGACTCATTAGTTACTTTTCTAAGGTCACCAAGTAATAAAACAGCATATCGATATTGTGCTTCAGAATGATTTAGTTCATCAGAAGCTTCTTTAAAAAGCTGTCTGGCCCTATCCGGATCTTTTTGCCCATGATAATGACCGTAAGTTAAGTAATATCCTAACCAGAATTTTGCTAATGGGTTATTAAGATCAGTATTTTCAGTGAAGCATTTCCATGAGCCTTCATAATCCTTATTTTTATGCATTTCTATTCCATCATTAAGAGATATAATGGGAGCTTCTTCAGGGATTTCATCATCTTCAATTTCAATATTATCAGTAAAATTTGGCAAAGTTTCTTCAGCCTTCTTTTCATCAAAATTCAATACCTTATCTCTAAGAAGTTGTGGCGTGTCAAAAGGAATTGGGAATTCTGTGGCTAATTCTTCAAGTTTGTGCCCTAGTGTAGGAATAGTTATTCGTAATTCTGATTTATGGCACCATGCTATTATCAATTAAATAAACAAAATTAAAGTAAAAATTGTAGAACCAATAAAATAAATAAAAATAAAAAAATCTGATAAATGCTACCATCTTGAATGATTTTAATAAATTCTAATTGAATGTTTTTATCGTCAGGGTTTATGAATTTTCCTTTTGAAAGCTTTTCTCGTTTACCACTTAAAATATGATCAACTATTCGTTTAATATCCCAACCTTCATAAGGTAGCTTTTCATAACAGAGTTCCCATAAGAGCATTCCAAAACTAATTATGAATAATAATGATCAGAGAATATAGAAAGTAAGCAAATACAATTAAAATAATCTTATAATTACCTAAACATTTCACAATTAAATGTATATACAATTTTTTTTTCAGATTTACTTAGAATACGTGTATATTTTTCGATTAATTCAGGTGCCATCCAACGAATAAGATGTGTTGCCAAGTTTGAAAGATTTGCAGCGAAGCCATCTACTTCACGCGCCCATCCAAAATTTCCAAGTTTTACACTCAAATCATTTAGTACCTATACGTAATGTAATATTAGTAATTATTATTTTTAGATACAATATATTAAATATTATTTAATTATACTTACAAAAACATTTTCACATATAACATCATGATGGAAAATATTTACAGTACGTAAAAATAGAAGACCAAGAAGTATATCTTTGGCAATTATAATTTTTCTAGTCCAAGGAATATCATATTTGTCGTAAAGCTCCTTTAAATTTCCACGTTCAGCCCATTCCAAAATCATAACTTTAGAGTTATTAATATCAATATAACCATAAAAGGTGAGAATTTTAGGACATTGACCTAATTTGCCAAGGATTGCTAATTCGGTTTCATTTTGACCTTCATGAGGTTTACATGCGACTTCTTCTATTGATCTATAAATCATTTTAATGATTTTGCCTCTAATTGTTTGAGTTGTGGGGTCAGCCAATTCATTCGAGTCAATCTTATGCGCATGGACATCACCTTGTTTAATCATATGAGATGTCATAAAGTCTATACGTTGAACTACTATATCAAGTTTCTCATCAATTTGTTGGAGAGTCTAAAATGGATATTTATATGAAAAAGGTAAAATTAATAAGTCAGGGTTATTTATACTTGAAAATAAATAACTTACTTCATCAACTTCTTTTAAATCTTTATCAACTTTTTCAGAATCTTTTTTACTTTCATCTGCATTAATTTCAATATTGAAGTATAGATAACTCATACACTTATCAAAATCATTTGTTAATTGATCAAATTTCTTTTTAACATCAGGTGCATGAAGAAACCTTTTATAGCCTTTAAGTTTTGATACATTTTTAGTATATTCTTTGATCTGAGTTAAAATATTTTTAAATCTTTCAAAAGCTAAATAAAAGGATTTTTCACGAAAATCCACCTTAATCCTTTCCATACTTCTAACTATCTTATCTATAGAATATTCTGCTGCTTTTACTCTATCAACTATAATCAGGCAAAGTTCTTTATTACATTCCGCATTTTCATAATTTGATAAATTTCCTCAACTAATACTTTAACTGCTCCGATTACAGGAAGGTAAACAGAAAATATATCAGCATCAAAAATTTTGGTCGCAGTAGAATTCATGTCTAAAATGAACTGGCACGTACAACGAGAGCACGCACGTACGTACTTATCTACGAGATGTTCATGATCTTAAATATGATATACGTAATCATAATAATAAATCACGTGTACGTACGTACGTACTAGGGCGGTAAATCAACTAAGTAAATCAAAACTATGTCAGCAATATTAATAATTTTACTATGATCAGATTTTAATCAGTGAAATTAAAATAATCGATTAAATATCATATTGATATATCTTTGATTAATAAATAATACACAAAATTCTAAAGAGTCTACCTTGACATTGCACTTCTTTTTCTAATTTCTTTTAATTGAAAACTCTTTTCAAAAGTCATCTCTAAAAAGTTACGCTCGATTTTTCGCAAAAATTCTATTGAAGTTTCAACTTTTACAGTTAAGATATAATTTTTTTTTCATTTTAACTAGTGAAATTTAAATTATTTATAGACGAACATTCAAATTTATATGTTAATAGAAAATCTGAAAGCGTAACTTTATTCTCTAACCTTTAATAAGTTACTTGTGAAAATTTCAAAGTAATTCATTGGGTTTTCAATAAGTTACACTATTTTATAGTAATTAATTTTAATAAATACATTAATTTGTAATAATGACAATCTCTAAATGAAAATATCAATTACGTGAGGCAAGCAAAGCTTCAGCAGACAAATGAAAAGTCACCCAGCATGAGAAATATGTTAGTGAATTAAAACAGATTTTAATACAAATGAACAATAATGACTTGCAATTAATTTATCAATATATGGTTCAACCAACTAATCATCAAAAAGAAAATAAAACTACACATCATCAAAAATTAATTAACATTGTTGAACATTTACTTGATGATGAATTAAAATCTACAATTCATTTATTAGATACTATGTGGTATTCTAAAGGATCAAATAAGGGCAGTTTGCTTTCATCTTTTTTGCAAAATAAGGTTTTAAATTACATTAATTCATCTCTTTATAAGTCAAATCAAGATTCGATCTTATTAATTCAATATAATAAAACTTTATATAAAAAAATCGATTAATTAAAACATTTAAATGCTAAAAAGAATCATAAAATCAAACAACTAGTAGAAATATTGTCACAACATAAGCATAAAAGAAACAAATATATTTCAAAAGTACATGCTGTTGCTAGTCATAAATCTTTACCTCTATTACAAAGTTTAAAAACAAGTATTTTAATATAACTTATAAAAAACAAATATCAATATATAACTAAATTTATCAATGTAACTACACAATTATCACAAATCAACCAAATGTCCTTTCAAAATACCATTCAAGCTATACAAATAATCTTGAGTTTTCTAACAGAAGAAGATTTATCATGATCATTAATATGTCAATCCATTATTAATTAGAATCAAGAAATTAGTGAACTCTATATAAATAAAATTTTAAGTCAAAGTAGGGTTTCAAATTTCTTTACTATTGGAATAATGGTAAACAAATCAACACGAAACCAACAAAAAATATTTTATACTATGTCTTATATTCTGGAATTTAGAAAAAAATAAACTAGATCTTCAAGTATTAGAAATGAAGGACTTGATATGTTGTATAGGAAAAGCAGTAGCACAAGCAATATATGATACTTTAAATAATTATAATATAGATTTGCAACAATGTTTAGTTTGTGTTTCTGACAACACAAAGTATATGAGTGATAGAAATGGAGATGCAATCATATTATTTAACAAAATAAATAAATCTAAACTATTTTGAATTCTATATGAAATTCATGTTTCACATATTATAATAAATAATTTTGAGGAAATTATATTTGGAAAATTATCTAATGGCAGTAGATTTTTGTAAAAAGAACATTTAGCAAATCTTTTGTAGTTAGTCTAGAATCTCCATGATGATTATGATAAAAATGATAAAACAAACTGATGGGTGTATAATCAGATTATATTTGTATGTTTTATAAAGAGCAATTTAAATATAAATTAATTAAGTATCAATGGCCTATTCGATCATGATGGCTTTATAAGTTTATTTGTGTTGAACAATACTTAGAGTAAAGAAACATTTATATACAATTCACAAAATGGTTTTTAGCTCATCTTAAAACCTGAAATAATACACCAAAATCATATCTCAAAAAATGGAAGTTATTTAAGAATTGGCTTAATAATCCTTTTTTAAATCTTCAGATTAAATTATTTGTTAAATTTGAAAAAGAGTTTTATTATCTGATGGTCAGGTTTCTTACTGGATATGATTCTATATTACAAAATTCTATGTCTATTAATCTTCTTCCAGGTTAGTGTGCATACCAAATACCAGATTTTGTAATTTGTACAACAATGAAGCTTCAGAATATCATTGAAGATCCCTATTCATTCTTTGAAGAAGAATTATTAGAAAATATCAATTTTTTAGAAGATGATCAACTTAGTGAACTTATTTCTGATCTTGAATATGGTACTAAAAAAGCATTAGAGCTTTACCAAAAATATTTTGATTATTGGTTGCATTTATCTTTGAGTATCTGCTGTTTAGGTAGAAAACATAAAAGAGAATTTGCACGAAGCTTTGCTTATATAGTTTTAGGAATACCTTAGTCATCAATTCCTACTTTGCAGGAATTATGTTATGCAAAATTTTTAGAATTAGATATTGAATGTAATGAATTTAATGACTTTGGTCTATTTGATGCATTAAATAATCCTATATTTAATTATAAATTTCTCAGTTTTATTTAGGAAAAGTATTGATCTTTATACCAGTTTCCTAAAATATTTAAGTTTGTTAAATATCATATCTGGTATATTGTAATTTACCAACAGCAAGTTGAAGGTATATTCAATAAGTGGGATCTTAAAACCCATCCAAATATGACAACTAGTCTTCAATAATCAAAATTGTGATTATCAAATATGCCACTTTCTGAAATCAGCTATAATTCTTTGAATTTGACAGAATATAGAGCAAAGAAAAGACAACAAGCAAAATCTGTACCCAGACCAAATTTAAGTTAGGACAATTTTGATAATGATGCTGAATGTGAAAGAAAAGCAAATAAATTGTTTGAAAATTTATTTGGCTAATAGTAAATAAATATGTAATATTGCAATATAGCAGTAATTAATATTAAATTGATATCAGGCAATAATTAAATTAATATCTATATATAATATATATAATAATAATTATGATATAAGGCAATAATTATATTTGTATAATATAAAAAATCTGTAATATATCAAATTATATAGTTTGCTCACATAGTTTTGATTTACTTAGTTGATTTACCACCCTAGTATGTATATACATATGTATGATGTACTACATGTATGAACATTTTATTGTTGCACTATGAATGTTTATAGTTAAATTTGAGTTTGGCGTTTATACATTTCATGAAAGCTTACTGTTGTTAGGAATAGTAAAGAGTTACTTTTTAATAATTTTTATTTTAACAATTTTTATGTTTTTTAACTTGCTTTAATTATTGCATTAATGGATGAAGCTGAAATTACTGTACTAATTGATTAATTTCAATTTTAGTGTTGTCATGGATTTTATCGAAGTATGCATGTTTCTTGACTTCAGTTGTGTTACAAAGTCAAAAAAGTCAGAAGATTCGAATTTATAATCATAATAATAACTATATTATTATTATTATTATCAAATATCAATAGAAGTAAATACATGTAAAAAATCATTTTAAATCAATATAAAAATTATTTGAAACATTCTGCTTTAAGGCCTTAATTAATAGTACAAAAAGTGCTAGTAAATAAATATTATTTAGCAGAAAATATTTTAAGAGTGTCAAATGTTTATTATTATAATCAAAATTCAAGTAAATATCATAATTTAATAAGCAGACAAAATTCTTAAAGTCGAGTTAAGGTCAGGGCTAAGAATTATAGAGAAGTAATTTTAGTAGTAAAATTATTGAGCAAAAACTTTTTATTAGAGCACGAGTGAAAACTTTTTGTTAGAATACAAAAAGATGGTTTCTTTTGTAGAATTTTGAGCGAATGTTTGGTTTAAAATTTTTTTTGATCATGTTACATTACACCTAATCTTAAAACTATGTCAATAACCCAGTACACATTTTCAATAATTTTTCACCCTTGCTAATGTAGGATATTAGGTTTTGTTAGAGTTTATTATGGTTAGAATTATTAGCAGAGTATGGCATTATCATAAAAGTGTATGAAAATACCAATTCCCAAACAATAATATGTGAGCTTTCATTTCCAATTTACAAAATTTATAAACATTTTAAGCTTCAATTAATTGAATATTTTTTTAAACCTGTGAGATTGTGGAATACTGGGAAGCATACTTTATTAGATCATAAATTGTAAAATTACAGAGTATACATGATAGTTAAATATTTTTATTTTAAAGTTAGATAGTGAAGTATTGATATACTTGTCTTCTCTCTGTTTCTTGCCAAGCTCTCCAAAACTTTTATTTCTTTTTTGATTCTGTTTGTGATGATGAAAGGGATCATAGGAGATGAAACAATATTTTCACTTCATATCATTTGAGTATAGAGATACTAGATTTCATAAATTGCAGTAAAGTGTAGTCATAGTATTGTCTTCTGTAACTTTTTATTCTAGATGTTCGATGCTATAAATATTTTTTTAATTGATTTAGGTAGTGCTTTGTTTGAGTTCTTAAGAAAATCATAGGTAAGCTTCTATATTTCCTTACTTTTTTTACATTGAACACCAAAATCTTCAATTATTTGAAGTTCTTCTGGGCATTCTGAACAGTCTTCTAGAGTTTGATCTGAGTGTAGAAGGTGATATCCAAGGGTCAAGAAGTGGTAATAAAAGCATTAAAAAATATCACTCTTTTTGTTATTTATATATTTAAACTTAATCCACTTTGCATAGACATCAATCATTTCTGAGTCTCTGTTTTTTTTGACTTGCCATAATTTTTATATACTTGTTTTTGAGAAAATCTGTCTTTTTTTTAACTGCATATTTGTCTCTTTTACTATTAGCTAAGCTTATTGAGTTCAGATTCCAAGGTCAAGGGCTGTTAGTAGTAAGGTTTTCTTTAACTCTTCTCCATGCCATCAAATAGAGTTTTTATTTGTCTGGCCATGAGCTGGTTCTGATTGGTAACATGTTCAGAACTCTTATAATTGTTATATTATATTTATTCCATTCTTTGACTTTTTCATGTTCTGTTTTGGTTCAACAGCTTTGAGCTATTTAAAAGCTTAAGCCAAATTGTTAAAAATCTGGAGTCTAATATATATTTAAAGATAGAAAATGGGAGTTACATCACCTATTTCACTATATGCTCATTGATCTTATTGAGCTGTTTTCTGTTAAAGAAATATACTATATTTTAAAAATTAATAAACTTTGATAACTAAGATCTTGCCTTTAAAAAAGAGGTTAAGTTGTAATATTTTTTTTATTGAATTTTTTATTTTTTCTATCATTTCATACCAGAACAATTTTTTAATATTGCCTTTTGTGTCTATCCTAAAACTAGATATTTCAATTGACTTATTTTCTTATAAGGTTTTAAATAAGTTAATGTTGTTACTTGAATATAATTATGCACTATTTGTTAAAAAACTAGTATTTATTTTTTTTTATTAATTCTGCATTATAGGCCTTTTCATATTTATACAAACAAGAGAAAAAAAGGCTTCATTTTGTTGAATCTGCAATGCCTATAGTGAGATTATTAATATATGCTACTAATTTGAATCTTTGTAAGTGCATAGAGATATCTTTAAAGTTTGTATTTAAGAGTCTAAGTAGGAGTTCAAAGGCTAAAATATATAAAAGTAAAAATTAATTAAGTATTTAAAAGATCACAATGATAATGAAATTCAACCTTGCTGATTCAATTCTGATCATAAACTACTATTAATTTTGTTATTGCTTCAATTCTGATTATAGACTACTATTAATTTTATTATTGCTTCAATTCTGATAGATCAGCAAATTCAATTTTAGTAAGCAGTTGATTTTATTTATGAATTCAATTAAATATATATTTTATAATATAAATTTTTTGAATA